CGGAGACTGCGTGTGTGTACAGTTTTCAACATTAAGTCAGTCTTGTAAGGTCGTTCCTACATAGCTAAACAGACTGAATAAAGGAATTGCGTTCTATTGGCATGTAAATGTCAGTGTCCAATTAGTCAACTACTAATCTCATGGTATAAGGAGCGTTCTTTAATACCAAGCCCATGTTGAAGTAGGTTACATATATTTATCTACCATATTGTCATTTGTAGCCTATTTCAATTTTATATTTAAAAAATAATTTTAGGTAAACATTATTGCTTATTACCATTTAAATTTAAAATATTTACTTCATGATTTCATTTAGTACTTATGTTTACATTCATTAGCATTGAATAACTTAATTTGGAGCCGCGAAATTAGAAATATAAAAGTAAAAATTAAAGATGAAATAAAAATTGAAAATTGTCAATTGTTAAATCTGGTGTTTGTTCTTTCAGTATTCCTTTCTTCAAAACCGTATGTTTTCGTTATCATCTAAATTCTTTGTTGGATAATAATAATTCAAAATCTTCTCAATCATTAGAAAGGAATGTTTTAATTACTTTGTATAGGTGCCGTCTGATTAAGTATTGCTTTTACATCGTACATAGTTTTGAGAAAGTATTGTAATGCCGCGAAAAAAAACGGTGAATTTTCTACCCAAAAACTCCTTTTGTGGCGCTCTGATATTGAAGAGGTGGAGAAATTTTGTTCCCTATTACTTCCCCTAACCATAACACAGCAGAATCCACGATTTGTGGGCCCTTGATACCAAAAAATTGGTTAACGGTGAAACGTCCGTGTGTGGTTAACTCTTAACACCTAAACCGTTCGGATGATTTTCTCCAAAATTGATATTCTCCGATCAATCTGGACAATTACGAAACTACGAATTTGAAAGTGATATTTTGGTTTGGAAGCGGAACATTAAATGAAGCTTAACATTTTCAAAATTCTCTTGTTTCCCTTAATAAAACCAATTCCAAAAAAAGTATTTAAAGTAGTGTTCAATTTTGTTTATAAAACTTGTAGTTTTCGCGTAATTTTTCTTAAATCTCTTCCTTAAAAGATATTTTTTAAATAAGGTCACGTACAATTTTCTTAAAGTAAAAACATTTTTCCTTTTTGCGCTTAAGAAGGAACGTCTTAAGAAGAGAAAGTCATTTAATGCTGCGACGTTCTGTCATCGAAATGGCGAATTTTCGGCAGAAAACTCTTATTGCAGAGCCCTGGTAACGAAAAAGTGGGTAAATCTTGTCTCCTGTACTATAATAACCAATTGCTCCCTCTAACACGTTGAATAGTCAGTTTGTGGGTCCTTGATACCGAAAAATAGACTGACGGGAAAAGTCGGTCCGTCCGTGAGCAACACTAGCAGCCAATCGGAAGCAGGATTTTCATCAGAATTTATATTCCCCAATCGATGTGGGTGATGTCGCAGCCCTCTGAATTTGGAACCTATATTTAAAGTTTGGGAGGTATTTTAGATGAAGCCCTTGGGACTTCATTGAAGAAAGAAAAAGAAAGAAAAAAAAAAAAAAGCACGAAATTTTTCGATTAAATTTTGGTCGCAGAGCATAAAGGACGTTTACGAGAATGAATGGTGCAGGCTTCATTTTCCCCGAATTCGTGTTTCGAAAATTGCAATTGCATTTTCGGCCTCTTTCTACAGATTTAATTATGGAAGTATTTATTCGAGATGAAATGTGATCAAAAACAGCTATTCAATTAAGGTCATATTCAATTTTTCGAAAATATGAGTATTTTCGCGTAATTATGCATGAAACCTATGCAATTTTTTAATTCTATACAATTATTTTTTCAATAGCGGCTCCACATTTATTCTTGAAATTGTTATCACGTGTGTAGCAAAGAACGATAAAGGAAGTGGTGGTTTTCCCATTTTCAGCGCACTCTTATTTTCGAAAGAAAAAAAATTCGAAATCCTCGCATTTGTTAGAGGCACAGTGAAAGTAATTTAAGAAGTGCTTGGGGGCAATTGGATATTCTGAAAATCCTATAAAAGCCGTTTGAATAGTCGAATTTGTGTTATTTGCTTTAAAAGAATTATTTTTCTAATTTGATGTTGTAAGATATAATGATCCATTTAACAGTTAAAACTGTGCGGCGTACTATGGAGAGAAAAGGTGTTTTGTTCACAAGAAGGAAATACTGAATACCCTTACTATAAACAAGTTGAATTCTGAATACGTATGGAAATCAGCGTTTTCTAAAATCGATAAGAAAATATTCGCCATGCGAAAAACGAATCGCCGCCCATTGCTGCTTTCAAACCACCGCACTGGCATCAATGTAACGCAACGCAACAGCGCCGCGTTGACTGGGCTGAACTAGTCTCTGCCGCCGCGTTATTAACTTCTTTATTAACTTTTTTTAAAGAATAAAATACATAATTAATTGCTGAATTTGTATTGATAGTTTGTTGAAAAGAATTTGTTTTTGCCCCCAATGTTCTACGATTTGTAGTGAGGTATACAAAACATGATGACTGAGATGTGTTGATTGGTCAGAAATTGCTGTTTAATAATATTACGTAACCTTTACTAAGGATGAGAAAGTATGTGCTGTTTCAGCACAACTAGTTAAATATCACCCACGTCGTTAATTTTTACATTTCCGTTGCTTGTATACAATATTGTATTTATGAGTACAAGTGATTTAAATTATTTCTGATCCAAAGTTTCTGGAATGTTTTCTATGAAAATGATTTACAAATGCTCATTTTCATGAATGCTTGACGACATTTCCTCAAAAATGGTTCAATTTTTTTTTTTTATTGAAACGTTTTGTATTGAGAGTTAAATGCACTAAATAACTCCATCATGATGCATGTGTATTCTTTTTATTTCTCAAAAATTACATAAATGTATTTAAATATATTTTACGTCATCAATATTTATACTATGGGCGTTCTGTATAGATTATTGCATTTGTGAGTACAAGTGCTTCAAATGATGCCTTATAAAGTTTCTCGAAAACTCAAAAGTGTTGTAAATGAGCTCAAAATTGCGCATTTTCAGAATCGTTTAAACGACATTTTCTCAAAAACTGCTCCATTTTTTTCCAATGAAAATTTGTGTACATGTCTAGGTTGTATGCAATATTCTTAGTCATATTTCAATACTACTCTTAGGGAACCAACAAATCGGGAAAACGTGAGATAAATGTCGTTCAGGCACTGATAAAGCTAGCTGTAAAAAGGGTGAGGCATTTCCGAAAATCTAGCCCAGATTAAAGAGAAAAATAACTAGTATGAGAAAGTCTGTGCCATTCTATTGCACGTTTTTGTTTACTGTTCTTTCAAAAGTTTTTTAGATAGAGACCTTTGCCCGATTCCTTTTTAATTTTTCTTGTCATTTTAAAAATCATTATGATTAATACTACTTAGTGAATGTATAAGTCAGAGATACTAAATTTCCAAAACACAGGGGTAGTAAGTTTTAATAAGTATATAATTTTACTTTTTCAAAACTAGTGTACAAATTTACAAAAAAAATTAAAACTGTTTACAAAAGTAGCTTCTCTTAATAATACGCAAAGGAAAATTACAAGACGACACAAAAACATGTGTGCTTGTCTGGTTAGAGAATAACTCCCCGGCCCTGCAACTAACTGATTTGAGTCGAAAAAATATAAGTTTGCAGATTATTACACACGTTATAATCACGCCTAACTCAGAACCTATCCTTATATACAAGGCCCTTAAAACCCAGTTTTCATTTGTCCTAAAGGGTCACGAGTTCTGGGGGAACACAGAGGAGAGATAGTTGGAGGAATTGTAGGGGAACAGGTAAGGAAACTACGAGAGACATGTGGAGCCCAAATTGTTTCTTAAGCAGTATTCCACAAAATGATATATGTTTGAACTATTACATTTTTGGAGATTTAGTTCTTTCAAATATCACCCAAAACCTGAAATAAAAACCCGAAATATGTGTAAAAATTAAATTGAAGGAAAAAGACAGAAATTATCTTTCACGATAAAATTAAAGCAACCATTTGAGTTTCTGTGCAATTTAATTTCAACTCTTAATATTATAATGATTACTTTAGATATCATCTAGAATGCTATAACGTACTCAGATCAGGGGCCGGCCAAAGTTTGGTTCTGCTGTGAAGTGATTTACGCTTATTATTATTATTATTATTATTATTATTATTATTATTATTATTATTATTATTATTATTATTGTTGTTGTTGTTGTTATTATTATTATTATTATTTACCAAGTGCGCAGTTTCTCACGAGAACAGCTAGTGTACAAATACCTCTTAAGTGTATTGATGTGTAGAAATTTGATGTTTTTCAAATGTTGTTGTGAAATGGAGCGATAATGTACTGGATCATTTGTTCATAATTTTTCGTACAACAAATCAGATCCGAATACAACGGTCGCTTAAAAATTCCCGGCAAAAAGGTACCACTTTCGTCTAACTGTACGTTACGAAAACGTCTCGTGGATGCCCGTGGAGTTTGTGCACGCGAGTGGGAAGATGTGTCCGTGGCCTTCGGCGCGCAACAGCTGCAGAGTGAGGTGCCAGCCGTCTTCGCGCAAGACGGGTCGAACTCCAACCCGGCCAGGCGCGGGAGCGAGGTCGCGCTGTTCCTTGGGCGCGGGGGGCACATGCGAGGGTGCTTGGCTCGCGCGGACGCACGTCGTTGGCGAGGCATTGTCGTCCGCTCTTTTTCCCGCCATTGTATTACCGTATTGCAGGACGCTCATAAATCCTTCATGGAATATGTATACGCAACAGGTGATAGAGGTGAATGAATTCATGTATTGTGTAGTATACAGTAACAACTTTTCCTCTCCTGTTTTTTGTCAGCGTACACTAAAATTTAAGTGAAATAAATTTATGGTTTGTACCCTCAAAAATAATTTAAATCGGTTAATAAATTTAATGGAACATCGTGTATTGCTACCGCCTGTCAATTGTTTTAGTAAGCTACCTGTCTGGTATTTATGCGTTACACGCTCGTGTTGCAGCGACCTCTACAATCGTGATGACATATTAATATTACCTGGGAAACAAAGAGGAAGAAGAAGATAAGAGTAAAGAATTAAAAGCAAGAAGAATAGAGACAAGATGGAGTAGGAGAAAAAACCTAAGAAAGATAACTATTCACCTACTTTTGCCCAAACTTTTTGGACCTTATCACTGTTAGGCAAAGTTATTCAAACCGTCCACCACTTACTGTAATTAACTTCCATCTACTTAAACTAATAAAGTTGTATAGTACTCGCAATCAAACATTTCATTAGATATCGAAAATTAAGTTTTATTCACTAGTTAATAAATCAGTTTAAAAGATGTGTTGTGACAAAGGCACTATCATTTTCAACATTTAATATCGAAATCTGCACCAGAGAAAATAAAGGCTCGGAAATTACGAGCAGTTTACAGTTATGTAATAAAATGCAAATGAAAGCAAATCCACTGTTCGCTTCTCGATAATCAAATCAGTTCTCGAGTTCTGCATAAAACGGCTTTCTTTCCCCACACTTTCTTTGGAATTGACATGGATGCCCAGACATGAAGTTTGTGCTTCGCGTTGTTTAATGCAAAAATATGATTGTTCTTTCCCGAAACACGGTGTAGAAGAGATTAAACATTTTTTTAACTTTTTAATTAATTCTATACTTTTTATTGAAATAATTCAAATTTTGGACTAATATTAATAACAATTTAAACCGTGAAAGGTGGCTCAGGGCATCAACAGATGTCACTCCAGTGCCTCTGACCGGGAGGCCTGGGATTCTAGACCCGCCGGTGACAGGACTTTCGACACTAGCCTACCCGATCAGCAGAGTTGAGTTCTGTCACTGTGTGGGGAAGAATTCTAGCGACCGGCTACTCTGATCGGTATTTTTCAGTGATTTCTCCGATCAATTCCAAACTAATGCCGGAGCAGTATTCTACCAAACGGGCCACGAGCCGCACTTGATGTTTCCTATGCCTTATTGACATACACCCGGGAGACAGGGCGGGAACTTAGAGGTTGGGGCGGTGCCTCGCTGGTGGGTGAACCCCGTCAACCGTCAGTAGGTCGGCGCCGGATCTCACCATGCAGCGGGGCAAGATCACCGTCACCTCCCAAAGAATGTACTACACTTGCGGGACTAATGACCTTAACAGTTCACTAGAAGTCAATCAACAATAATTTAATAAGTAGGCAACGGCGAGTGGAATCACACATTTTTGTATTGAAACTATCTGCCCCAGAGGGTCGATATCGATCACTTCGGGAATTTGGTTGACTTAGCCCAATAGTGTGTTCTGTATTCACATAATGAATTATGTGTTCTGAGCATTCTTATTTCTCTTTTATGGGCCCTGACAGCGAGTGTTCTAAAAAATGTCAATTACTCTTCCGTTTTCTTTCGATAGGGGCGGATCCAGAAAGCATTTCAGAGTGTGGTACACTAAGATCGGACCTCGTCCCCATAAATTATTTTCATGAAATACTTTTGAATGCAATTGTTTTCTTGAAATGCCGTCCGCTCGGGCTCATCAGGACGTACTCCTTTGTAAGTTCCTCTAAAACAATTACCTATTGATTGCGTAAGATCAGTTAGGTAATTCTAAATGAATTTATAAATATAACCAAAAGGTATTCGATTGGGGATGAGATGCATGGCTCCCATGCCTCTCTTCCCAGCAACCGCCTCTTAGCACGAATAGTGTTAGCTAATGTAGTCTTTATCATTTGTCTTTCAGCTGAATTCTTAAATGCACAAGGAAAGGTTTCTGCAACGAGCCAAAAATACACACGTCCGTTTGCTTGGGCATGGATGAGTACAAATTCAACGTACTAATTTTGTTTCCTCAGTGACATTATAGTGAATGTATCTTGTTCATATTTTTTTTTTCTCGGAACACGAATTTGGAAGATAAAACGTACTTTAAAACCTCGACCAAAATAGCCTCCATAGATTACGAAAATGAAATTTAGGTACAAAAATTGTTCCCTACAAAAACCTAACATCGAACGTTCATCCTTTAAGGGCAGTTATTTTTAATGTTATTAAGATAAGTCCGTGAATATGATGGCCGTAGCCTCAGGAAGCCTCCACTTCTGCCACTAGATAATGAAACCTTGCTACAGAGCATTGCAAATTTTTCGTATCAGTGGAAGAGAAGTAAAATCTCTGGTTGTGGAGATTCGATAAGGCATATGAGGCTAACAGAGGCCGGGCAAATTTCTTGACCCCACCCTAACACAAACTGTCAACATCCGTGGCTCTTCATAACCCAAGATCAACCTCTCAAATGACATTTCTTAACAAATTGTAGCTGTGACGCATTTTGAAACAATGGTTCGTAGTATCACATTTCATTATTACAGGAACTCTCAGGAAATGACCATTTATATTTCTTTCATTCTATTGTATCTGAACTACTGTTCGTTGTGCCCAAGGAGGTGTAGAATTTCTACGATGCCCTGGGAGCAGACTGCAATGTCTTAGCGTTGATTACTACAGAGAGGAAGTGAAAGTCATTAGAACAGTTATATCTAAAAGAACGGTTAGACGCGTGAATAGAATGTGTGGAAATTCATTGCGCTAGTTTCTTTGCCGAGTGAGTATTAGACGGGATGGGAGCAGAACTCTCTTGAAACCAGTAAAGGCCTGAGGTGTTTCGGTATCAGAGGTCCTGCGTTTTCAACAGCTTTCTAGTGTGTGTCTAATATACGCTCGGTCCTTTTTAAATATTACGAATGTATGTTTCAAAGCAAATGAATTTATTCCAAAATTAATTAAATTTTTTGTCAACGGTAAATTCTGAGATAATTGTCGTGTGATGATTTTAATGTTAACAGAATTCACTTTAATAGTTAAGAGCAAATGGAAAGGTGAATGTTATGCTTGGTACTAAAGCACTTGCTGGATCGATATTATTTTAAGTGTTAAATTTAAAAAGTGACAGGTATGGAGACAATTTTGTCCTGTAATGTAACTATTACCTGTCAGTCAAGTTTCCGCTCATATTTTAATCAACATTATCTTATTAATTTTTATTATTAGTTTCATTACATAAACAAATTACGATTTCAAAACATGATCGCCCTTTCTTGCCTTTGGCTCGGCTCATCGAAGGAAAAAAAATAATTTACTTTTGTATCCCTTACATAAACGCTTACATAAAAAGAATCTCTGTTCCGCCGTCTCTTACGTCCATTGTGATCGTCGTTTACACAAAATGTATTTATTCCCGTTGGTAGTATTTTTCTCTATGTAAACCGGAGATATGACAGTTCCTCAAACGCTGCTAACGTATGACTGAGAATTTTAAGAATTATTACACGAGTACTTTCGATATCGGGGAACTACAATAATTCAATAGAAATTGCGAGGTCCTTTCCACATATCACAGAAAATTGGAAACTTAACAGGCATTGTGATTGTGCTAACGCAGATGTTATGGTCAGTGGCGCATCATGAAAGGAGTCAAGGTAGATACCATCTACCTATTACATTCACCCACTGGATGACTGTAATAATATGAGATATATTTACATAGATCATAATAAATTCCGAGTCTGATCACAATGACTTAGCGCTCTGTCAGATTCCGGTTTGGATAACCCCAAGAGCGGTCCCCTGTGATCCGGATCAACCTTCTCGGCTGTATTCGCCGCAAGGAAATTCTGCGTGCGCGTCGCAGGAAAACTCAAGAAAGGAGCCTAGCCTCCCTATTGGCAAAAACACATAACTTCGACCGCTTGGGTAGGCAAGTCTTGGTTCCGGGAACTTTGTTTTATACTTTAACTTTCATTAAAAACAAAAAACTTTGTAGTTATTCGACCGATATGTGTAGCATTCTATGTGTTCATTAGGTATGGAATAACTGTAAGCGGATCCACACCTCTAAAACAATGTTTCATTTGAAATGTAATGTGACGTAAAAATCGGATAAAAAATATCTCGGGCGTGAGGATCTCTTAGATTAAATAAAAGTTGAGCGGAAGCTCATTGACATGACTTGTAGTTATAAAAAAATTATATTTGTGTTAACTCGTCCTTCTCGTAACCAAATTACATTCCACCCAGTTGTTGCAAATACTATTTTAAACCTGTCATGTACAATTAGCGTTTGCACATCATGCTCGTAGAAACTAAACCAACACGTTTGCGTCATCTTCCTAACACGTTTGTACTTACACTACAAACAAATCTACCTCCTCACCCCCCGAGAAAACGCACACGGATGTCTTCTTGCATTTATACACGGGAAACTGGCTGTACAAGTGACTCCCCAAAAGGGCAGGGGTTCAATCAAAAGCCGAGATGAACTGTGCGCATTGGCGGAGCGCGCGCGCGCCGCGGCGCCGGCGGTATACTCACGCGAGGAGGCGGCGCGCGTCAGCGGAGGCAGCGGCGCCCTCTCTGCGTGCTGTGGAGCGGCGAGCGCGGGGCGAGCGACTGGCACCGGGCGCTGCTGCGGGTGGGTCGCGCGGGCTGGTTGCGGGGGCCGCCGGCTGCGTTGCGTTGCGTCGCGTCGCGCGGCGCAGCAGGCGCGCACGTGACCCGAGGCGCATGCGGCGATCTGCGGCGTGACACGGCGCGAGGCGTGCGCCGACGCCGGCGCCGGCGCCGACGCGGACGGTTCAAGGGCTACAGCGTGCCCCTCCCCACACCACACCACGCCACGCCCGCTCCTCGGAATCTGTAAACTGCTTCGTGCACAATATTGTTACCAACCCACTTGGGTGTCAACCAGCCAAAAAGACGGAGACAAACACCGTTAATTGTTGATTATTTCAAGACCTTTAACAAACAACTTAGTTAATTCATTTTATTACTAATTATTGCATGAATCTTGTAGCGTTTGCAATTCTTGCAACGACCTGAAGGCTTATAAGATTGCAATACGGTTACTTGCGCATTTTTACTACGTGGAAATCGACGGAACAAATCCCACTTCCGTCTGGCAGATGGTGCACGAGACGTTGATTAGAATTTGGATTGTTCTCGCAGTTTCCTCAAAAACACTTAGGCCTAAACTCAGGACCCGAAGTTCTCCTAGGGCCGTATAATGTTCTCGACCCATCCTTCCCTATTCCTGCCCGTATCCGCTCTTCATTCCTGTGACCGAGCGTAAGTTGCTATTCCCATCCATTAATGCGTTACTGGCGTTAGTTATTGGCACAGTTGCGAGTCCACGGGAATCTTCGAAACATCGGGTGCATATTAATACCTTTCTAGGCAGTGACTGATCTAGGGGAAGGAGGCATGCCCCACCACCACCACCACCACCTAGTTTTTGTTTGTTACCTTCCTTTAATTGGAAAAATGGATTTAAATATTTATTAAATTAGAATTATAAAATATTTAAACTATAATATTAGATAGTATTATACATACCCTACCAAAACAATATAATAACAAATATGTTTATTATCTAAAAATAATATGGATCGCCCCTGTGTATAGGGTTCTATGCTTTGTAATGAAATGTAAAGTAGGTTTCCTCATTACTACAGTGGGCGGTGTGGGCTTTTGGAAACACCTACCTTTTTTTGTCAAACTTGTAAACAATTTTAAAAGCTTTATTTAATAACGCATAAAAATGCCTAGACTTAAATCAAGTTGACACCACTTCAATTGAGTAAACAAATCTGTTAGTATAACATTTTTTATATATAAAGAAGTCAGAAAAGTGCAGAACATTTTGCCCTTTCAATAAAGTATTTAATATCAAACTAGTGTTGCATAACATAAACATAAGAAATCTGCCATCCAGAAATAAATTTAATCTATCATAATCCCATTTAGTTTACAGAGATCCTTCAGTAATTTAATTAATTAAATTTTCATATTTAATTTATAGGCAAAAAGTTCACTAAGAAAGAAGCAGGAAATTGAGAAGAGTTTGGATAAAAGAGCCTTACTTCTGGGAAACGTACAGACAATGCTATCTCGCATTCAGGAATCTCATTCAGATTCTAAGGTTTGTTCCTTCACCTTTTTTTAACAAAAACTTGTATTTATTCCTTTATGAAACTTATGGTTTTTGCATTACAGATCTTGGAGTCATATCAACAAGGTGTTGCAGCTCTCAAATTCACCTTAAAAGAAGCAAACTTGACTGATGAAAATGTATCAAATACTATGCTAGAATTGAATGAGGTAAACTTCTATAGTATAATATTTCGTTCTGATATTTTATTTTCAAGTTTAGTTACAAGCATTGAATTTTGTTTTGAAGCACTGATACAAAGTTCATCTAAAATTACACTTTGAAAATACTTCCTCAGATTAAATATAGTAAAAAAAAGGAAATAGCAAGAAGCCTATTATGTAATTTTAACTAAATGGGATGCTTTTATAAAAAAAACTCAATCCCAACTATACTCATAACAAAGAGAATTCCGGTTAGAATGAAGGTGTGATTTGTTGTGTAGTTACTATTTTTTAATATATAACTGTATGAATATTTATTTGTTCAAAGATTCTTGATATTCATGATGATATTCAAGAATCAATGGCTCAATCTATTGGAAGCAGTAACGATAAAGACTTAGAAGATGAATTGGAACAATTACTACTCTCCGATACAATGCCTGTCCCATCAGAAACAATAGACATCAAAGGTAATGTATTTTCTACTTACAAATATAATTTTACTCATAACCTACAATTACATAATGATCTTATGATTACATTGATCACAACCTGGGCACCTTGTTATACCGTTGTCAGCTCATCCACATTCCACCTTTGGATTAAAGGAAATAATTTTAAGCGATTTCTTGCAGGGTGGTTGAAGTTGAGTGCAGATTTTTATGAGGACAATTCCAATTTTCCAATCACTCGTATTCCTTTCCTTTATGACCATTAACTTAACATGAGACAATACCTCATATAGTCTGCACTCTGAATCCTATCTGAATTTTGGGAATCTTACTTTATAAATACAACAGCTCCCACTAATCATGAGTTAATTTCATCAAAGATATACTCTCTAAATAGATGTTAAGAATTTAGAGTTATAAGTTATAATGGGTTCTGGCGTAATTAAAATATTAGCTGTTCCATTACTAATAGTTGACAATGCATTTTCCTTTAAGAAGAAATTATCACAGCCCATGCCATCTCAAATGACCATGACAGAAGTCAACAAACGTATCAAGTAATTTATTATTATTATTATTATTATTACTTGATTTAAATGAACATTTTCATTGAAGTAACTAAAACATTCTCAGTATACATTGTAAGAGGTAACCTTGCTTTTTTTTTTTTTTTTTAATAATTAAATGTCACTGAAAAATTCTTATTCATAATTAGTTAAAAATATTAATTGAATCCTGGTCATAAGATTCCGATTTTTATTTAATGAAGCTTCTGTCTTGAAAAACTATTAATAAGAAATATTTTCTAGAATGCCAGTTTCAATCAACTTTTAATTGACCTCTTCAACACTTACACTCATGTGCTTCATCAGAATATTAAGTGTGGTTGCATTATTTTTCAACATAATATATACATAATCATAAATAAATATTAACTGTAGCATTAAATGTAATGAAGTCACTTTGTGGTAGTTGTGAATGGTTGGGTAGACAAAGCTTAAACACCCACAAAATCTTGGAATACAATACTGAACATTTTCAGAAATTTATTGAAAAGGCATTTTGATTTTCTCAAATCTACATAGATTGGTGTATTTGTGATATTTGTAAAGGCACAATTTGTTTTATAATAATTAGAACTCTCAAATATACTGAAAATTGAATGATCAACTTAGGTTTACTCACCAACTCCCATCTTCTGACTAGTAATCTTGATAGTTTTGCATATTTATTCTGACTTTATTCGTTACATGTTGTGGATGTAATAAATTTGATATTTACATTCCTTTGCAGATTTGCCAGAAGTGCCTCGTGGAAACCCATCTGAACCAATAGCAAAGGCTCAAGCATCTTGTTGAAGTATGCTGATTAATACAATTGTAAATTTTGTGTTGTAATATTGCAATGTCGTGTATATTATTGTAAATAAATTCATACCTGGAAATATTTTCCAGTTCTTAAAAAATTGACTTAATCTGCATATTCTTAGAAATGTAAGCTGAATATACAAAAAACATTTAAAAAGCTGGGGAAATTAAACATCACTTTATTGACAGTGAGCCAAAAAAAAAAGGTGTTGATGTGCAAAGAAGAAATTATTTACATTGAATGATTTCAGTAGGAGTTTCTCATTCATTTTACTATTAAGTTATTACTCAGCAATTTCAATTGTAATGGGTTTATTTAAAAGATCAGAGTGAAGTTTAATAAATGCCTCCAGGAACCAAAGCACATTACAATGTTTATACAAAAATAAAACTGGAGCACTATTATAATTCAATATTTTCCACACTGGCCATGCTCAACAAAATACATTAAATTTAGCCATAAAATTTAAACAGCAATAGTGTTGAACAAAAACGCTCATGCAAAACTGAGGCACAAGAACGACAGTGAGCTAGCTTATCACGAAGTCACAATTGGTTCTTTGAGAGAACCTCTCCACATAAATAACAAAAAAGATTAAGTCACTAAGTTGTTCCCTTGAGTAATAAATTACGAGAGACCTTGTTAATTTTACAATATAACTGTACCAAAAACCCGATCCAATTTATCCCAATCCTAGCACTGAATCAGTAAAGTCCTACTCTGTAACTACAACCATAAGACACGTAGTCCGTCCTTTTCAAACGCCAATTCTAAATCTTTATGAAACAGTGGTTGGACAATATCTATTTCAAATAAATTACAGCTAAATAACAGAATTGAACATTCATTCAAAGCAGCACATAACTGCAACACTTACTAGTAAGACTTATTATATACATTGTTGTCAACTGTGAAGCTGATGATTCTTTCTACAAAGTACAAAACCATATATAGCACATCATTAATATTGATGGGCCTTTTCAATTGGCTTATTAGTTTATGAAAGTAATTCTCATACATTTGTCTCTTGACAATATGAATTAAAAATTATCAATTGACCTCTCATTAATTCTTGCACTTGCTTGTGATCATTTCATCTACCAAGGATCACTCAATTTTACTCTGATGCAAGACAATCAGACATTCCAATTGTTTAAATGTATAAATATGAATAAATACATGCATTTATATATATTTATGTATATAATTTATACATGTAAACAATAATCCCGCATACAAAAACCTAAGACACTATCAGAAAATCTCAGATAAATAATCTAGGGATATTTCTATACCGGGAATCACATGGCAAAATTTTAACAATAATGATTTTACTTTCATTAACAATTTTATCCAAGGAGCCAAGGAATGTCAACAGGCAGTCATTGGGGGGAAAAAAGCATTTGCCGGTGCCCAGGAACATGCTTTAGGATTAAATATATACCTGAAAGGCAAACTCTATTTCTCTTGCTTTAATGCAGCCAAATAATAAACAGACTTGAACCATAAAGTAAAACATCTGGTGTACCAGAATACCTACTGCTATTGCACATAAGGAAATTGGTATAACACCACATTCAATAAAGCATACGAAATACATTTAAAATTAATACATACTTCCACATATTTCCAATTGCAATGACACAATAATATAATACATTGATGCAAAAGGAAATGTTACAAAACAAACAGAAAATGTAAATCTCTTGTAATCTGCAACAGGATCTTTCTGCTCACCTCAAGTACAAATCAAACAGTTTGTTCAATACTTAGTGGTCATATTAAAAAATAAACTGTATAAATATGGTACAAAACCCAACAAAAGTTAATAACAGATCTCCACGTGCACTAAATTATGCATGTCCATCAGGCCTCATTTCCTTCATCTGGGCTTCACTATGGAGCACACCATATCACAGCAAAAAATGTGAAGGCTAAATAGATCAGCTCAAGCAAGACCCAACACTGACAATGTTCGATATCTGTGCACTGGTGACCTTGGGATTGCAAGCAAATTATTCAACCCTCTGCCTATCACGGTCAGAAGAATGAAGTGCATTATCCCTCACAGCAGACAACAACTGATCTGTAAATGTAGCAACATGGAGCAAGAATATTTACAACCTAGAGGCTACCAGAAACTGTTGATAGTAAACTAAACCTCAAGTCAATATAACAGGTGCAAATTTTATAGTTCTCTTTACTCTCGACAACCAAATCCATTACCAACAGGCAATTCAATCCCCCTATGTACGCACAGATGCTAACTCTAACAATGGATGTTCTTCAAACAACAGGAGGCCTTGTCCTCTTTTTTATCACTCAGTCTTCATAAACATTCTGTACACATTCCATTTTGTCTGGATACCAAATAAAACATTTTGGCCACGTTTTTGTGCATCTACAAACAGTAGCATACAATACAAAAATGTCAATTCTGTACTAGCTGAATTCCACTAGTACAATACGGTTGTGAAATGTGTCTCATGGAGATTATAGCAACGACTGTATGATAACAAAATCATGGCTAAATGTCCTTTCGCTATCCATTATCACTTGGCCAATCAACAAGAGTGTGGCAATTAACTCCTAATAGTCATCAATGTCATAAACGTCATCAAGCAGTTCATCACACTGCATGCTTTGGAAGTCCACCTTGTAGCGAAGGAGTCCTGCAACAAAGGGAAAATATTAATCATTACTAACCACCATAAAACCCAAAATTAATTAAATGAGTAACACTCTGCATCCCAATAATTATTATATATTCACCAAATTCTGTTATATACTCTCTTCAGATGGCAAAAAAATTATTAAAGGCAGAAAAACACAAATGCAAAAATATGATGTTCAATAAACATATCTATCCTAAATAAATTTTGTTCAATTAAGTAAGAAATAATAACAAGCTTGTCTTGAACTATGGTCACTTCAAAATTAAGTTTTACGTGACTGCAAATTAAGTAAAAAGATTTACTCACTGTTCAATATACCGGTTTATATTCCAAAACTAAGAAAGTTTAGGCAAATCTCTTTTCCTGTAGTAATAGTTTTAAAGATAGAAATGTTCTAAAAACACTCTCTGCCATAAAAACCAGCAGAAAAAAATTAAATTTTTATTCTCATTTTCCTAAGCCTTAATGAATGTGTTGGAAGGATGTGAGAGTAAATACAAAGTTTAAAATTATTCCCAAAGAGAAGTTCACTTCAGAAAAAATATAAATACTCTGCCTAAAAGTAACTTCAAAACAATTAGGAAGAGAAAACTCAAGTAAATTTAGAAAGAGAACATTCCCATATTCCAAAAGCATCCATTTAGTGGATGACAATACAAAATCCAAAATATCTGTTCTAATCTCTTTCTGGAAACACAGAGGAACAAATATGTTACGAGCTATCTTCTCCTACTTATTGTGTCTACTAAGGTTTATAAATAATCTTCAAGAGTAAATACTAGATGTAGTACAAACAAAAACAAATTTCATGCAGAAACACATTGCAGGCATACTTTTAAGAGTATACTCATAACACACAAAAAACATTTTCATTCAACATGCTACTTTTGCTGCATACAAAAAGCATTAACATTAGTGTCATTGCATCACATCATCTAAAGCAGGCAGAAAAAATAATACATTTCAAATTCTCTTGAAGTCTTGCATACAAAACAAAACAAAACAAAACAAAACTGTGACTAAAAATTTAAATAAATTACTCTAATTTGTTTCAGTAATTTTTCACCAAGTATTTTTATGTTCTTTACACGTACGAAGATGAACTGAAAAAAAAAAGGAATACCCTTTAAAATTAAAATTAACAGAAAAAAATTGGTCTTCATACACGTTTTTGAGTTATCTTCAAAATTTCTCTTAAATAATAATGATAAGTACCTTTATTCCCTTGGAACGTATTATGGCTTTAACACCACCACTAATAGGAAGAAACTAATACAGTAGAGTTCCGAGTTCTCCGGTTCTGTGACGTCATGCGATTACGCTGTGGCAATCAGTGAGCGACGGAGAGGGGGTAGAGTGGGGATACGGGAAGAAGGTGAAGGCAGAGAGTGGGGAGGAGATGGAGAGTACTATTCAATTAAAAACATTGGTCTTACCTAATCACTGTCCATCGATGACCTATCGCTGTTTTCGCTTCACACTCGTTATCCGAGTCCATATTTATAACAATACTGTCTATAATGTCCGGCACTATACCATCCCTTTCCCAGTATTCATTTTCTAGTTTCGTGACGTGAGAGCAATACCCCATCCAGTCTTCAGTAGTGACTTGTGTGATAGCCCAGTTTGTAAGATCTAACAATTTTGTTGTCGACATGTCCCCGTTTACATTTCTTTCCTTTATGAGTCTCTTAATTTTTGCCCATGCCATTTAATGGGATTCAGTTCACACATGTATGGAGGGAGACGAATGACTGAATGACCCCTACTGGTAAACAGCTCATCAATCTTGTAAATTTTGTTCTTAGATTTTAGTTGTAGAACTAGTTGATATAATTCAGGCTTCCGCAGGTTTTCATTAACATGCAATCCTTTTGCATTCAACCATTGAATTAAATCTCGCTTTACTGAATATGCAGTTGGGGTTTTATTAGCTACTACACTATGATATGGGGCATTATCGAACACAATCACTGCATTAGAAGCCAGGTTTTCTAATAATTTTTCTCTAACCCACTTTTCAAAATTTTCTGGGTTCATTTGTCCATGGTAATCGCCTGATGCAGAATCAGCTTTGAAAATTAGTTCCGCACCATTAATGAAACCATTGTTTCCACCAGCGTGAACTACAATTAGTCTAACTGATGCGCTTATGTTTGCCGTTACACCAATTATATCATCATGCTGCCAGCACTTTTTAACTACTAAGCTGTTGTCAATCCACGTTTCGTCAATATACACTATTTCACGGCCTTCTTCCCTTAAGTTCCTCATTTGGACGAGATATTTTGATCTCCAATCAACAATGTCTGCTCTTTCGATCAACACTTTACGTTTTGAATTACATTTCTTCCATCTGAATCCCATCTTCTTCATCAACCTCCATAGTGGCTTTTCTCCCCAAGGAAAATTGATCTTTTCTTTTATTATGGGTAACATTGTTGATACCGTTGGCACTTGCTTTTCACGGTCATAGAAATCAAAGATAGCGTTTCTGATAACGCCCATGACAAACTCATCTATTTTCACGGCGTTGCGACGAGACACTGTTCTTTTCTTTCCGGGTGAAATAAGTCGCCTGTCAGCACTTCCTTTATTTCGTATATTATTTTCTTTCCGAATTGTTTTAATACTAGTTACACCAACGCCAGTATATACCGCTGCTCTTTCTGTGGCCTTTGTCAGAGGAACTAGCAGATGATTTTGTTTCTTTTCTTTATCGCATGCCTCAATTACACTTGCTATGATCTCCCGACCTTCACCGAATTGTCGAATTCGATTTCCGTTTCGCCATTTCGCGTGTAACATTAGACACTCTGAATCACAACTGAGCTGATGTTTGCGAAACCAATGCAGTGACCGAGTGCCCGCTGGCTCTTTCCTACAGCCCACGTATGATTCACGGCTGTCAGTCAACCAAATCCTACAGCCCATCGCCTTATCGCGCTCCCTCCCCGCGGAGAAACGTAGACCCCTCTCACAGGGCCGGAGAACTCGGAACCAAACAGTAAATGAATACCAAAAAGCTATCAATCTCTGAATTTGGTTGTAAGGACAAAAGTTAATATTGAATTAGATAATGTATGGAAGAACTTTTTGATAACATGATTCTCGTCTTGTCTACAATATTTGATTAGAATATTTCTACACAATCAATGAAACAACAGCAGATAGCAAATATCACAAATAAGAATAAAAAATGAGATAATTTGTTTACATTTCTCACATGAATTTTTCCAATTATTTACTGATATTTCTTTGAAAAAGAAAAGCATTGTTTCTGTTACTCTTTTTCAAACAGTTTGCGTAATTTTCTGTCAAAACACTACTCCAAAATGAGTATTCCTTCCGGGTCATCTTCCCTTAGAACTATTCAAAAAATGCATACTGAGAAAGAAGAAGAACTAGATATTAATTAAGACATTATACCCAGAAAATGAAATGATTCCTTACAAGCTTTAACAAAATCAAATTTTGATTTTGTTGTAACTTATACAATACTAGTCATGTAAAATGCTCAAAGGATTTTTTTTTTTTTTTTAATTTAAATTTGTAACCATCTCCAAATAATACATTCCATAAAAACGACTTGTCAACCCCTCCCAACATCACCCTGTAATATCTTTTAAAGACACTTATAAAGAGCTCGATTAATTTTTTTACACTATCTTCAATTCCTAGACATCTACTTTGATAAAATCTGTGTAAAGAACACAATTCACAAGTCTACAATGTTTACATTAAAATGAACATTCATTGTGTACCATAAGCCTTAGAACAGAAGTCACTTTACAGCCATGAAGATAAAGAAATATAATGTAAGCAAATCGATTTTTTCAGACAAAAATTATGGAAATAAAATAAAAACTTAGGGAATTTGTGAGCACAAACGTCACGACTACACAATCTGATCTACCTGATGAAGAGGCCTACAAGAGATCTTAATAATCATCAAGATCCACATCATCCAAAGGCTCATCTGCCTGAAGAGACTGGAAGTCGACCTTGTAACGAAGAATGCCTAAACGGAAACAGACAATCATGACGACCAAAAAACACCACACCTAATAAGATAACAAGAACAAATAACTCCATTGCCTCAAAATCTATTACACTTGCTTTCAAAACATACTGAAAAAGAAATATTAAAGCACTTTAGAACTGATGAGAAGAAGATTCCAGACGCAGAAAGATCATGGTTAGTCACAATCTTAATTCTTGTAATTCTGCAAAATATGAGGATTAGAGCAAATATCAAGTCACAAGCCAAGTACTGCTTTGTTAGTGTGTTTCAATACACTCTGAAATCTAAAATTATTTTCAGAGTACAAAAACTCACCTCCAATTCCTCCAAATCCTCGCACAAACTGTGAGCCTTCCTGAGATTTATCAGTAATAATTTCCAAAGTTGCTCCAAAATTCTTGTAATTATTAGCAAGCCACTCTAGAAGAGGTTGACATTCTACTAATTCCAATTCTACCCCACTCTGAAAAGAAACGGTTTAAAATGCAATAATTGTTTAAATACATTGACAAAGTGAGGTCATACATTACAAAATTAAAAATTATATTATAAACATGAAAATTAAAAGAAGAGGTAGAAGGAAAAAACAAACGCACATATATGCACAAGCACACCCAAATATGCACATTATAATTTATAGAAACAACTGTTAAGCATGACTTGTTTTAAACAAGCACCTAGTTTACCACATCTGCAATTCATAAGTACATCATAACACGCAGTGCTCTATTTTAGTGTTTTATCCCTTCACAACAAAAACATGCCCACTTTAGAAGTATTACAAATATTTTGAAAAGGGCAGAATCACTTTCATCCATGATAATTCTCAAATCAACTAAGCCTGTTGGGTAGTGCCAAATAAATAGCAGCACTAACCATGCAAACCATCAGAGTGATGTCATTCGCATTTCCCCTGCCCTCAGAATATTTTTGCAAAAGCAAGTTTTAAATCACTTTTTGCAAAATGGTTGTGTTATTTAAGTTAAATTAAGGCTGTGTTTATAAAGATAGAAAATTATCATTTAGAATAACAAAAAATAATCCATCCAGAAGAAAGAAACCTTTATTTGATAAAAATATGGTAATGTGAAAAAGAGGAATAAGCACTGACAAACTCAAAAAAATCTCCCAACATTCCTGAAGGCTTTATCATTAAAGTTCAAGATTGTGCCAAATCTCCAAATCAAATTCCTATTTGATTAACATACAAGTAGTGTAAAAGTAGACAATGTAACCTGATTGACCCTCGGGGGATTTATATTAAAAGACATGGGAACTTCAAAGGTACTGTAGTGGAACTCCTGAAGTTTTGCCAACAAAGCTTAATTTCTTTAATTGGAAGAGAACACATCAAAGCAGCGTGATTACGGGGATCCTATTTTAAAGCAGAAGAGAAATCTGTATGCATAAAAATGGACATTGGTATATTTTAAAGCAGAAAACTTCAACACCGTGTGACTGATCTCCATGAAATTCAGTACATTTACATGTTTTTTCATCGACAAGGTTAATGCGGTGTTTATTTTGCTGTAACTCTAATAAATGGCACTTTAGAACAAAATTGCGCTATATTTTAATTCAATTTCCATTCAAACCACAATCCACACGAGCTTCATTGTTGTATTGCTGTGTGACTATGGGCGCAACCCAAGAAAACCGGATGGACACGCATGACCAAGTGAAACAAAGAGATGCAAATAGAGACAGACAGACAGAGAGAGAAAAAGTGCGAGACAAGAGACAACAGAGAGGGAAAAAGTGTGAGACAAGAGACAGAGGGAAAAAGTGCATGACAAGAGACAACAGAGAGGGAAAAAGTGCAAGACACTTTTTGAAACCTAAATGACACCTCTGGGTTTAATTCAAAATCATGTTTCTCGTCCAAGAAATACCTCCTTCCTCTGCTAGTTGGTGAAAGGAGCGTAGCGAAATTTGCGTGGTTAGATGGACGAGCTGGCCTGATGGCCTGAGTCTCAGTAAGTAAAGTAAAATAAGGCATTAATTCAATTCAATTCAACAGGTGGGGACAGAGAGACAAAGTCAGAGAGATTATCAGGTGGGGACAGAGAGACAAAATCAGAAAGACATACAGAGAGAGACAAAGTCAGAAAGACATACAGAGAGAGACAAAGTCAGAAAGACATACAGAGAGAGACAAAGTCAGAGAGATTAACAGGTGGGGACAGAGAGACAAAATCAGAAAGACATTCAGAGAGAGACAAAGTCAGAAAGAGACAGAGAGAGACAAAGTCAGAAAGAGACAGAGAGAGACAAAGTCAGAAAGAGACAGAGACCTTTTCTTTTTCACAAGGATTGAATAATAAAAAACGCCAATGACGGTTATTTTTCTAGTATTCTTCTAAATTTAAGTGTAACAATATACTTAAGTTCTTCCTCAAGACAAGGGTTGGCAGTATTGCTACCACAACAGACAAAATGCCAGTATAAAATGAAGTGAAGCAAGCATACTCAGAACAAAAATACTGTTATAAATTTACAACCTTAAAATATCTAAATGAAATACATCCCTCCCATCTCCAGATCAATCTGCATATAGAACTTCTCTAACACTTTATCCTAATATTCATAAGCACCTAGAATATGATTTTTAATATTATTAAGATTGCAGGACAAACACAAATGTGTGCTTCTGTTGTTTGCATGTATTTGCAATTTTTTTCACGAAGCAATTATATATTCATACTTTTAGTCATTGTCAATCACGTTCAGAATGTCTTTTTTTTCATGGAAAAGAGAAAGGGTTCTCTTATCCAATCAGAAGCCACAAATTTTTATACCATTACAGTTTTGTCAAAGCTGAAAAATTGCTTGAAGCTTGGAGAAGATAAGCCTTTTTTATTTCATCAGTAATTGTTTAAGTCACCATGCACATCACTCCTGCTGAAAGTTATTGTTCCCTATTGATCACATTATTTGCAGTGTGTAATGGGCTTAATTTGTTTCTCTGGTAGGTTTGTTACACACTTGTTTTTGCTAACAAACTTTCACTTAGAGTTTCACTGCAATATTCCTATGTTTTCTTGGAAGGGTTATCTGTTATTACAAAAGTAAACCATTTTGTTTGTTTTTACTTACAATGTACAAATAGATCATAAACTTTCACAACCCATAACTTTTCTACCACTCAAATGGAATTACAATAGTGATTTGTGAGTGATGAAAAACAAACATTCAATATAAACAATATCACCACCAATTCAGGCTATATCAGAGGTATAATGTTGCCTCTAAAATTTTAAATATGTACTTTCACCAGTTCATGCAAAACTGTGCCATAATGTGGCCACTACACCTTTTTTTACTGATTATCTAACCCAGTGTTATTCAAACTGTGAGGCATGCCTCCCCAGGGAAGGGCGAAAGTATCAGAGGGGAGACATGAGAACGTTTTAATAATTTAAATAATTAAGGTTCTAATGACTAAATAACATTAATGCTCTAAATATTTCTACATTAATAAATTACTATCAGACTATGTATGTGCCTTCATTAATTTTAACAAATGGAAAAGAAAACATTTGTATAATATGTGATCACAGTGCTTTCATGAAACCAACATCATCAACTATCAGTTATTTTAAAAGAGATCTGGCAGTTGGGGCAATAGAATAAGGCTCGCTTTGTTGCGGTGAGATTTATTCTTGCATCACTGAATTTTGGTGTTCTGTAAAGAATTGGTATCCAGATTTATTAAGATGGCCTTGTGTGTTTAGCTTCCTTTTTCCACTTCTATGTGAAAAAGGATTTTCAGCCTTGGCAGTAATCAAGAAAAATACAGATCAATCTCCCGAGTTAGATGCGCACTGATATTTCTAAATTAGTGCAGAGTTTTGATGAACTGTGTCACAAGTCTATTCATCTCCCTGACTTTTCTAAATTATCAATATGTTTCTTTGTTATAGTTTTCCTTACTTAGTCAAACATGAACTAAATTCATTTATTACAAGAGTGAACAGAGAAAATCACACACATTATTCATTTTGTACACTAAGTACACAATAACAAAGTCTACATGATGGCCTTACTATTAGGAAAAAAAATATTTAATTGTTTTAACTTAATTGTAATGAGGGGAGGCACATGCAGAATTTGATACCTGGACATTGAAAGTGATTCCTAACAACAGCATTTTTGCATAAACATCCTTTACCATTAACACCTATGACTTATTTTCATTTATTTAATATATTTTTTCTAAGATTTGTGAATTTTGAATTGATGCCTTATTTTACTTGGTGAGACTCAGGCCACGAGGCCTGCTCTTCTGTCTGACCATGCAAATTTCGCTACCGTCCTTCCTTCAACTAGTGGAGAATCGCTGCCGCTGCTTGTGGGACTATTTCTGTTTGATAACTCATCATGCACTACTTCCAATGATGCAAGCAGTAGCCCTTTCAGTTCAAATTGAGGAAGAACGTCATACAAATGATGTTCCCATGCACCCTCTTTACTTGTAGATGGATAATTTATTTAACTTGCTTTGGGCAACATGCCTGTTAGCAAATTCTCCATGCTTAAACATCCAAATTAACATACAAGGAGTAGTATTGAAATATTAATTAACATTGTCATTCCATGTCGAATCGGCTGTGGCGCAACTTTTTGGGAATTCAACCAAGTTTGTTTCAGTAACTAATTGATAGTATCTATCAGCACTGGGAACCTTCATAAACAGATACCCTCACACATCACCCTAGTTGTGGATATAGGGTAAGTGGAATACCTAACACCATAATATTTGATTGCTGCTCATCCAACAGTGACATGGCTACGAATCGAGGGCTAGAGAAAATCTTCAGAGAAGAGTTGGATAAAGCCGCGAAGGAGTTGAGTGATAAACTCGATAAGCTAGAAGACAAACTGACAAGTAATCAAAAGGAGGACATGGCAAGTATTAAGAAAGAAATCACAAAAATCACAAATTCAGTAAGTAAACTCACAGCAGACATTTAAATTCTGCAAGGAGGGGCAGAATCTTGAAAAAAGATGTGATGAGATTGAATCCTCGCAAAAAACTATGGCTAAACGAGTAAACGAAATGTGAGCAAAATTCCAAAATATTGAAACACATGGAGCAAACCCCAAAACTCACTCTGAGATCGTTAGAGAGCTTGAGGAGCGCGAGTTACGCAAGAGGAATGTAATTCTTTATGGAGTACAGGAATCAACAACGAATGATGCTGAAACTAAAAAATCTGCAGATCTAATCGCTGTTAAAGAAATACTAAAAAATCTGGATATACAAGCTGAGCAAAACATTGAAAAAATTATTAGATTAGGAAAACTGAATTTAGAGGATCAGGATTCTAAACAAGACCTGTTAAAATAATTTTGAAGGAATCTGCCACTACCAAAGATATTTTAAAAAACCAAAAGAAATTCCCACAGAGAATTAAAGCTAAAAACGATCTAACCCCAATGCAGAGAACTGAATTGAAAGAT